CATTTGAAATATCTGGGTCCAACATATAGACTGCAAGTCTGCTTTCTATTCTCTTGCATTCAAATTTTTCGCATGTGAACTTAACTGGGTCCCAAGCAGTTCCAGCAGCATTGAAATAATAGTTTACTTCATTGTTGAAGTTTGAGAAACCAAAGTCTAAGTCAACTTTGTCTTTGCAAAATTCGGCGAATGACGTTTGATTTGTTCCCTTTACGTCTGTAATAGTGAATGGGTCTTGTGTTGGTGCAATGACTAAGTTATTTTGCTTGAGTAAGTTCGATAGAAATTTTTCCTGCCCAGTTTGGCAAGTATCTTAAAAACCTGAAGATGAGGAAAGATGACAAAGGAACTCTAAGTTTCAGTTTTACTTTAGTGGCAGCAGTTCCATCTGAACCAGAAAGGTTAACATAAACTCCTGGAACGTTAGGGTCAAGTCTTCTTATTTCTCAATATTTGCATACTGGTCTGTTTGTTCTCTAGCTTGTGGTTGTACTGAGTTTCTCAAAGCGAACCATTCATAGTTTGCCCATGTTACTGTTTGAACTAAGTCAGAGTTAGAATATATCTTATATCCATGAAAACTTCTGGAGCATATTGGTATCCGACATAGAAAATTCCATTGCAACCTTTCTTGTCAGACAACTTGGCAGAAGGTTTTATTTCAATGTCTTGTTCCACGTATAAGAATGAGTTGTCAATAGAAATAATATGAAACCTGTCGCAAGCAATATCTACTGTTTTGAAGAACCTTCTCCAAACTCACCTACGTTTCCATAAGAAACAGCAGTTGTATATTCGTAAGTTCCAGAACTATTTCTGACCTTCTAATGGCATTGTCGCATTCGTTATACCATTCGGAAACATTTCCGTTCATGGCATCCAAAACTGTTGGCGTTATATTCTGAGCGGCGTACATTTCATATGGGTAAAAATATAGAATAGTTGGATTTATATGTCATAATAGAACCCACTCGTACCAAGCTTTACTTTCTTCCTGACTGAGTTTTTAACTCTTCTTTTTCCTTCATTGCCACTTTTCACTAGATGAAGTTACTTCTTCACTACTTTCACTTTGTTCTACTCTTCTCTTCTTCTTTGGTATCGCTTTGGTAACTTGCCCTCTGCTTCAAGTTGTTGCATCTTTGCCTCATGTTCACCTAGTATGTTGTAAATTTCCCATGTTCTTTTTGCCTTTGGGCTCTGGTCGCCCATCTCAGGTAACCAATATCCTAGAAAGATTTTGTCATAGTTTGTATTTGAGTCGTCGCGTATTGTTTGCATGACTCTTTCCTGAGTTTCCGGTTCAAGCTCTTCAAATATAGCTTGTCCATATGGAATATGCTCGTTTCCAAATATATGTTTTGTAGCCATTCTGGTTTTCTTTCCATGTTACCAATAATATTTGGAATGGGAAAGTTTTACCCAATGTTTCAGTCTTGCGTCATTATTTCTGTAGTTGGTTTTATTTTGTCAGAGGAACATGTTTTCAATACTAACATTTCATTTGGTACTGTCCATTTGAGTTTCTTAAATATTCATCCTTCTCAGTTCATTGTCTGCAAAGTAAGTTTTTTATGACATTTTGTAAACTTTCGTTTGCAAGGTCATGTACAATAGGTTCTCTTCCTTCTCTCTCCCTAACTTTCTTTCTAAACTCTTCACCAAATATACCATCTCTATGGTTCTGTGTAGTTCTTTGAGATAAATGTTCTAGAACGTCAGGTGTTATATTCCATCAGCCATGTTCATTTCATACTGGTCCAAAATATCTGCATGTTTCATATCTTTCAATGGCATTAAAGCCGCGCTGAAAATACCAGCTATATCTGGTTCACCATTCACTTCCATTGCGTCTACAACTTCTTGGAATTGAGGTTGTAAGTTTATGAACCACCTATCCGGATTAGCTTTATGACCCATCTCATTGTAGTTCCATAGTCTGCAGAAACACAAAAGTAGGTTTGTTTCCATATTGGTTAGGTTCTGAATGAACTTTAAACAATGTTTCATTTCTATATGTTTTGTTGAAATTTAACCTTTTATTTTCACCGAGTTCAGCCAAAGATTGAACGTTATATGGTCGTAAGTAAAAAGGATTATTGTATTTGCGTACGTACATTTTCTTTCAGTACTTCCATTCTATGCTGAATATTTTCATCTGATGTTGGAGTCTTTTGTATGTCGGCGAACATTTTTCGATATTCTTCTACTATGTCAGCCGAATTTTTCTTAGACTCTTGAAAGATTCCATATTCTCCTCATACTCTTGTTGAGGTCAGATTTTTCGGCTGTTCCAAATCTTCATCTAGTTCTGTGAAGTTAGTTTCCAAAGGAGGGGACTTGTTCGTTCCTTCTGGCTCTTCTAGCTGTTGTTGCTGAACTATTTCTTCCATGTCTGGTTGTATCTGAACTTCTTTGTGGAGTTTCTTGTACCTCATCTGCTGGCATTTCATATATTCCGAGACCGTTTTTAACAAGTTCCCTATTTAAGCATCCGCATTCATAACCCTTTCTTCTTTCGTTCCGTCTCTATTTTTTACGCGTTTCATGAAGATAGTTGAATTATCATTTATCTCTGACACCAAATATCTCGGAGTAAATTCATCCATGTCATTTGGATGAATATGCTATTAAATCATATCCCTTAGCGAGCTTGTATTTTCCAGTTTGAAATTATATCCCATTTGGTGCTGAACCATAAAGCTAAATAGTTCGGTCAGTATATTCCCTTCCTTGAACTTTCTAATAGCTTCTTTATATCTGTCACTAAAGTCAAGAGTATCTGGGTAACCATAATTTTCCTTAAGCATTTTTAAGAATTCTTGGTTTCCTTGTTCTCTACTTCTTTATGTCCTTGCTCTGTTTGTGGTTGTTGCTGTGTAGTGTTTTGAACTGTTGGTTGCTGTGCAGTGTTTTGAACTGTTGGTTGCTGTGCAGTGTTTTGAACTGTTGGTTGTGGTGCAGTGTTTTGAACTGTTGGTTGTGGTGCAGTGTTTTGAACTGTTGGTTGTGGTGCAGTGTTTTGAACTGTTGGTTGTGGTGCAGTGTTTTGAACTGTTGGTTGTGGTGCAGTGTTTTGAACTGTTGGTTGTGGTGCAGTGTTTTGAACTGTTGGTTGTTGTGTTGGTTTTGGTGCATGCCTGTGTCTGTGTCCATGTGACGATGTAAATGTTTTAGGTAGTCCTGGTGCAGGTGCTTCTCTTGGAGGGTTTGGTGGTATATAAGTTCCACCAGCTGGCACATATGTTCCATCTGCAGCATAATGTCCTACCTGACTTTTCGTTCTTAAGAAAGCATTTACTAGGTCTGTTTTGGTCTGTTGTAACTCTTTTTCTTGACTTTCCACAACAGTTGCTCTAACGGCGTCATAGGCACTTTGAACTGCCTGTCTCGTTGCTGCATCTGTTATTTTCGTCATATTTTGTGCTACTTCTTTAACTCTTTGTCGAAACCTTCAGACTTCAGTTTCTTTCCAGATGAGAAGTCGTTCACTAGTTTCACCTTACTATGAAGAGCTTCGAAGGCGTTCTTAAAGTCAGCATTCATTAAAGCTTCATTTGAACTGTCTTCATCCGCTTGTATTTTTTGTCCTTATTGACCCTATAAGTTGGGCTGCTTTGGCGTTGGCTTGGGCATCTAACCAGTCATTATTAGCTTTTATATATTCTGCGCTTTTCATTGCCTTTTGCATGGCTGCGTCGTTATTTTTACTTTCTTGTGCTAAGTTTTCATACTGTACGGTTTGGTTTGCAACTGTAAAAGTTTTTCTGCCTTTACATTTGCTTCAACTCTTTTTTATACTCATCGCTATCCATATATGTCTTCAGGGCTTTTGTGTTTTATTTCTTCATCTTTCAGTACTTTATATTGAGTAGTATGGTTTTTCAAATTTATAACATCTTGTTCCATTTTTGCTACTTCTGCTGCTTTTTCTGACACTTTTTTCGCATATTCCTCTGTACTTAGTTCTTTCAGTTGTTCTTCTTTCTTCTTTTTCTACGTTTAACTCATTGAGTTTCTTTGTGTGTCTGTCATATTCTAGTTTCTTTTCGTTTTCACTTATTTGTTTCTGTATGTCTATGTTTGACTTTTGACATTGTTATTTGATTTTTGAGTGAACTCAAATTCATTTGACTTTGAGGGTTATAAGCTGTTCCGTCTGCAGCTCCACCATAGCCTGCCATTTTCGCTAAAAGTGCCGCTCTTAAACCTCCACTCTATGCACCAATAACTCGGTTTAAAAGCATAGGGTTGCTTGACATTTGTTGCAACATAGTGGGGTCATTCATCATTTGTTGTTGCAACTGTTGTTGTGGTGTCAGTTTTACTATTGGATGTTTCAATGCTCCCTTCCTCTTACGTATATTCTTACGTAGCTTACGTGGCATTTTAAGTGAAGTTAAAAAGCGGTTTTTGACAGATGTTTATATGACTCTTTTTGTTCAGCACAAAAAACTACTCGGTCAAAGTGTTGTCAGTTTTGTAAAATAACCGTCCTATCTCATTCTATAAGGAGAAAAGGCTTCTCAAAGTATACTTCCTTGGAACGCCCGTAACTTTTCCTGTAGCGACGATAGACCCTTACTTGTCCGGACAAAGTTATACTATTTTGAGTGCTCTACAAAAAAGTCAACAGCGACGACTCTCAAAAACCGTTGTGTAAAAAGTTTTACCGTTGGACAAAAAAGTATATATAGAAAAAAAAAGTTTATAGTTCATTCAATATTTGAGATGGAACGGTTTGCCAACGGTAACTATTAAATAAAATAAAAAAATAGAGGGGGTCTCCGTTGGTAAAAACCGTTTATTTTAAACTTTTCTATGAGTTGTCCGAAAAAAACAGTTCATTTTTCATAATGGAAGGAAGAAAAAGTGTCGCAAACAATTCGTCGACTACCTCTGCAGTTAAAGTTCCTACAACTTATGTCTCACCATTCTCAAAACCCTTACGACCTCCTATAATACCAAAGCAACTTCCTCATACAATTCAAGACAATTTGTTGGACAATTCAAGACAATCTACTCAAGAAAATACCATACAAACAAACGAAACAACAGATACAGTTGTACCAGACACAACAGGACAAGTTTTACAGTCTTCTCCAATTGCAAACCAATTGTCCAACAATTCAAGACAATCTACTCAAGAAAATACCATACAAACAAACGAAACAACAGATACAGTTGTACCAGACACAACAGGACAAGTTTTACAGTCTTCTCCAATTGCAAACCAATTGTCCAACAATTCAAGACAATCTACTCAAGAAAATACCATACAAACAAACGAAACAACAGAGGAACAACCAAGCGCGTCATCGATGACGACAAGGTCCCAGATGAGATACCTCGCGTTCGCGAAGCAATTTCAATCAGGAGATACAGAAAATACAGAAGAAAACACTACCATATCTGAACGTGTTCGCAGGCAATATGCTAAAAAAAGACTTCAACTCCTTGAAAAACTCAAAAACCAATGGGGAATTCAAGACGACACCGATTATTCGGAAGTGTTTCAGTCTGTTATGGATAGTTTGCAACCAGTTGAAAATGAAGTTAAAGACCCAGGTGTTCTCGTGGACTTGTTTGTTCAATACTTGCCTGTTACAGCAAACCTAATTGCACTACAAGCCATCGACCAATTTATTAGACTTTTCCCCAAAAATATGCAAACTTATTTGCAAAATGTGAAAATTGCTGAGTATGTCAGCATATATCCCAATACCTACAACTATCTCGAAGAATTGGATGAGTATGGCAAAGGTCCTTTTACGTATACTTTTTTACCAATCCAGGACAGTCAAAACGGTTATATTGTATACAACCTTTACCAGAATTTCAAGACAATTTCCATGTCATATCCACTATAGCGTTAGATACACCAGAAAGAGTTCCCTACGGTAGCAAAGTTAGTATTTCAAGCTTCCCGAAAGCTACCAAAGGACATCCTATAAAATTGGCAGAATTCACTCATTCAAATTGCCAATTCAAACAGGATGTTGAGTTTGTATTCTTACACGATACCACATTCATAATACAGACACCTCCAGATGGACTCTACAAAGTATTTATAGCTGGACACGTAGCACCAGATGACGAAGAAGAAGTCGAGGAAATTATATCTTCGGATAATGAAGAGGAACAAACATTTGAAGATGTTAAAGACTCAGATTATACTGAGTAAAAAACTATTTAAGATTAAAAAATTTTATTTTATTTAAATATCTTTCTTTTTCATCGGAGTCTTGGGGTCAGTCCTCCTCTAGGTTTTTTAGGGGCTAGAAGGGGCGCAGCCCCTGGAAGCCCCACTACCTTTTTTTTTTAATTTTTAATATCATAGATAATGAAAGCGAAAAATATATAAAAATCGACAAACATGTTATAATGAATTGAGAGCTTTACGTGTCAAAAAACACATTTCATACTGATTTCTATAAAAGGTATCTTTATTATAGAAGTGTAAGCTATATCTGTTTGTTTTTTTATTATAACAAATTCAAAATTCTCTTATAAGGACTAGATGAAATCTGTATTATTAAATCATTAGCTAAATGAAGGTTCAAATAGAAAGTAAATATCAATTTATATGATACTGAAACCAAATAGTTCTTTTAATAAAAGATAACACGCTGAAAATTATTGAGTATTTGCAAATCTCAAAAATCTATTGGTGAATTTGGCTTAACTTTTAAAATTATAACATCCATATCAAATCATAAAAGCAGACAAAAATTAAAGCCAAACCTATCGGCCAGTTTTTTTTTGATATTTTGATTTTTGAGGTATACTTTTAAAAGTGGATTTAAAGCACTGATGAAAAAACATTAATTTATGTAGTTATGATTATTGATTTAGACAATAATGATTTTAATCTTTGATTATCAAAACACTAAAGTCATCTTTTTAACATTTGCTTGGTAGCATTAACTCAAGTCTAAAGTACTATTTTATGTGGCACTCTTAGAATTTTTGTATTCATTGTACACGCTGAAATAGTACCATTAAAGTTATGGCGGACTTTCAAAAAATAGTTTGGTCACCTTTACTTATTGGGTATATAGATTTTTTGATTATGGAAAATCAAGGCTTTTGTCCTTTTCACATATCATACTGAGTGATTCCATTGCAATAATTGATGATTTCTCGTCTTCACAGACACAAATATCTAAAAATGTCTGATTTAATGGTAAAATGAAGGTTTCTACATCAGTAATCTTATTATTAACAAATCCACATACAATGAATCGCAGAAGTGGAGCAATTTCTGGTGTAATTTCCTGCTGAATGATTTCAAATGTCTTATTTACGCCAATCATAACGAGATTAACAAAAATATCAGGGCATTCCGATTTCAGGAAGATAGGAAGTAAACCTATTGCATGCATTTTCACAATTGGAGGTGAATTTTCATTCTGAATATAAGATAAAACCAAACGACTTGCTTTTGTTACAGCAACCTTATCCGATACAAATATTAAGTATTCTAGTATTGAAAATATGTCTTTTGTGAAATCTAAATTAAATTCTCCCAAATTATCGACTTCTTCAACGATCTTTGAGCCATCAATTTTATCATGGTTCATCAGAACCTTTAACGTTTTCTTTGTGGCCTTAAAAGCTTCAACACTCGTTTGAGATGCAGCAAAAATGTTGGAAATATACTCTTTTTCAAGCATAAGAGGATCAATATGATCTGATATGAGGCCAAATGCTAAGATTATCATGGGTTTGTTCGTGTTTTCGAACATTAATAACGTTAATAACCTAGAACTTATGAATGAAGGAACATTTTCAGATAAAGAAGATAGTGCATCACAAAACACAGCTGAAAAGAAGGCCGCAGATGAAGCCAATTTCGAATCATCTAATAATGGTCGTAAAATGTCCCAAATTGCGGCCAATTGGTCTTCATAAAACTGACTACTGTTAATGTGGTCTGCAAAATGACTATCAGGAAGGTAATTCTCAATCTGGGAAAAATCTGAAACAATATTTGTCAACAAATCCTTATAAATGTCTGGATTCATGAGTGTGAATGATATTGCAAGGTTTGGAATGACTTTTAGTCTGTCTTCAAGAGATAAATCAGCTAATGAATTCAAATATTGAGTTAAACAATCAGGAACGTAAAATTTAAGCTCCGGAATGGTCATTTCTAATGATAATAAGATCTTACTAAATGTATAAACAATATCTGAGATAAATTTTGGTTCATTATTGATCATTGTAATAATATAACCAAAAATGAAGTCAATTAACTGCCTATGGCACTCAAAGTTTTCTAGAGATAGTGCAAATGAGCATAATTGTGTAATTAGTTGTGTTTGTTGAGCCAATGTTGCGTATTGAAAATTATCCATGATTATGTGTATAAATATTGTAGAATCCTCTGCAGATTGTATTGATATTCCATCTATATATGCTAACAGTAGAAACATTTTAAGGATATTATTCTTATTATTTTCGGAACGAATATATTCGAGAATTATACTTAGACTGCCCTTAGTTGAATGAGATACAATGGTAAATGCCTCATAAATATGCTGAATTACAAGTTTGTTCGTAAATTTTTCGAAATTTTGGATAAAGCAATGAATTAGAGCATCGATATCTTGTTTTTGAATTTTATTGACATTTTCTAGTAGATATATTGGTATTGAAGCGACAATTCCTAAAGTTACATCTAAATTTTCATCTTTATATTCATTATTTTCAACTAATTTTATGATTTCTTTAACATCTTGGAAGCCTACACCATACGGGATCTGGTTGGAATCATTTAATCCAAGAATTGTTTTCCCTAAGTTCCGGAATTCTTCCAAAGACATTAAAAAATGAGAATTTCGCTATGACAAGTAGATGTGATTTGATTCTGTACAACTAAATATTAATATATTTAAAACATTGTAGAATTAAAATTTTTGACGATATCAATTTATAAAAAAAATGCAAGCGAATCCTTTTAATAAAGCTAAGATACGATTTGCTTCACTTTGTCCACCTAGTAAAGTGTTCAACACAGGGAGCATGGACTGGGAAGCATGTGGGCTACTTGCATTAGCCGGTAAAGGCACAATTTATCTCTATAAAACTACTAAAAATGATATTTCTTTCTTATGATCCATTGAAATTCTAAATTCTAACATAACTTGCCTTAAATTCCACTATGAGCTACCTTATCTTGCAATTTCAGACGATTGCGGAAGAGTTTTGTTATGGGATTGTGAATCAGGTCTTACACTCGGAATCACTCGTCAAGTATCTGAAGCTCAGTATGTATCGGAGCTTCAATGGTCCGGTAAAATCGTTTTAGGCTTTGCAGAACCAAATACAATTTATAGTATCGATTTTTGGCCGTATGGAGCTGAAGATCAAGCGAAAAACTCACGAATACTTTGGAAGATAGATGTTCCTGGTACATATACAAGGATGGCTGTTAATAGTTCAGATATATTCACTGCAATTCTATATTCTAATGGTCCATCCTTTACAATTATCACGTCAAAGAATGCCAAGCAGGCTCCAACATCTCAATCTCAATCCCATACTTTAGATAAATCAGAAAAAATCGTAGAAATTCAACATCATCCCCATATTAGTAATATTTTATTAATTATGCTTGAAGGAAAAATACTTACGTTTAACATAAGCGACAAAATTCTGGCCGAAATCTTGTAATCGATGAATCATCCCAATCATCTTTCCATAAACTGCTTCCTTCTTTAACAAATGACAACGAAATTACAGTTTATGGTCAAGACTCGTCACTCAGTATCTATATCTGTAACGAAGACTACATTTTTACAAAATCAGGAACAATAAAATTGAAAAGAGAGCTGTTTGACTTAAAATCGAAGTATTTACCACTATCCGCTGCATGTAACCGTGCACTTCCCGAGCGATACATCGCGTTCTCTCCATCAAATGGCTTAGTTATGTTTGCCATAAAAGATGATATACCTTACGTCATCGCGCAGTCTCAAATTATACCACAGATACCAACCTGTTACGATTTCTACGACGGAATCCTTGCTTTCGGCACTCCAACCGGAAAGATAATTTTCGCAGACGTTTCAGAAGGGAAATACACACAGAACTACCTTGCATCCAGCACATCCATTGAAAAGATCAAGTTCCTTACCAAAGATGTCCTTCTGTGGTACTCAAAAACCGAGTGTGGATCAATAAATCTTCCCAAGCGCCAAGTTATTCCAATCCACACTCGCCTTGGCCCTGCCACAGACCTAATATGTTCAGAGGAGCTCGGCGTTTTCGTCCACGGCAAATACGACCTTGGTATTTTTTATGATGTCAAACAAAAGCCGATGACTCTTCAAACATCCATCACCGCTGTTGCAGTCCAAGTATCCAGAATACCAGCAACATGTTTCCAAGGCGATACTCCCAATTTCGCCGTATTATTATCTACCGGAGAAATCCAAGTCTACACATACAAGAACGGCATAGCACAGATGCCTGTTCTGAGGCTGCGTAACTCACGGGAGAACTCCAGGACAACTTGTCTTGCTTGGAAAGGCGATTGCATCATAACTGCTGACACAGACGGCGTAATTATGTTTTACGACTTTGCTTTCGGTACATCGAAGCAAACATACTCTCCTTTCATCGACATAGACAGGATAGAGTTCGAGAGATCATCCAGCGGATTGTACGTACACGCGAGAGACGGAAAATTTGGTTTTTCACTTGAAAAAGTGGAAAGTTGTCCTTTTTCTGTTTCCTCATTCGCTGTAACAGGAAATGGACTCGTCCTCGTCTCCCCGCTCAATGACGAAGCCGTGAAATTCGTTATTGCAAGAGACTGGAGATCTGTAAAAAGAATCACTTCACCTGCCCTCTTAAAACCGCTAAAAACCGCCCAGCAACGGTTAGAGCTTATGGGTGAGCAATTATTAACGAATCCTACTACAGGAACATGGTCAGAAGCACTTCAAATAGCTGAGATAGCTAATGACCATGGATTTCCAACTGATTCCATTATTTGGAAGTGTGTTTCACGTAGTTTGGGAGGTCCGAGGTTGCAAGCACGACATTCCATGTTTGGAGGGAAAGAAGAAGTTGTTTCCGCGTTGAGGATTCAATCTTCTCTGTTTTCTCCTGCAGATACTCCGATTTCTGCCATTTTCAACTTGTTGTTCAAGTTCAGAATGGGTGATAGAAGAGGAGCTGTCGAAGTTTTCAAGAGTCTCTCCAACAAAAGCGAGTTCACAATAGTGGCAAGCATTTGTTCGGCGTTGCTTCTCGGTTACGAAGATAAAATTTTGCCACAAAACGTGACAGAATTTTTGATAACAACCGCTGTTCCACTTTTTGCACAGCACAGATTTATAGAAGGCTGTATATTGATGCATTTAGCTGGCGCTAATCTTTCTGCCGCGAGATATCTTCAGGACAACGGAAGATGGGAAGATTCTGTCGAAGTCTGCAAATTGGAAGAGTTTTCGAATGAGTCGAAGAGTTTGTTGAGAAGAGCCGCCCACCACTTCTTGGATACTGGAAATGCAATGAACGCTTTGTTGCTGTTCATATCAATAAGAGATTTCCATCCTGCTTTGGCAATTTTGATGCAGATAAAATACAAAGCTCTCGCGTTTCATTTGATGATGTTCTTGGATAGGGCTGATGTAATTAAGCCGTACGACGAAGACACTTCGAGATACGCAACACAGTTTGCGGATTTGGATACTTTGAGACAGGATATAATTGTCAAATATGACAAAATAATTAAGAAATAATTTTATTTGTATATTTATTTTCTTTATTTATAAAAAAAAGTCGAAAAAAAAATGAAATTGTTTATATGGCATTTTCAATGATCTTTCAAGCCAGTTGTCAGATAGAAAAAAATTACGCATTTAACAAAGTTAAAGGGGAAAAGCATCCTGAAATTACGAAACATTTTAAAAAAAATAAAAAAAAATAAAGTGGGAAAGTCTGGAAATGATATGCTATGTATTGTAATTTTCAAAACTCAGCTTTCTAATGGAGCTATCACTTGTTACGTAAACTATATATATCGAATCAAAAGTTTGCTATGTTGTAATTTGATTTACAAGACATGATTTAATTAAAAAATAAAGGGTTTAAAATATAAAATAAAATATTTATCAAAGAAAAAAAGTTAAACTAAAAAATATATCAAAATAAATATTATATTAATATAAAGAGGTAGCAGTTTGACCAGCTGGATCTGTGATAGAAACTGTAATTTTAACCGTTGAGTCTTCAGAAATCTTTGAAGGAGCTGCAATTTGGAAAATTGTTTTCACTTTAGGAGAATATAATTTTCTCTTAAAATATACAAAAATAGTAATATCAATACATGTGTATAATATACTTTAAAACCATCGTGACAAAATTCAAAAACGAAGAGTTCTTCTCTCCAAATTTTTTTCAAAATCAAAAAAATGAGATAAAAAAGTACGTTTGGAAAATTCATTTTTAGCATTTTAGGAATTTTCTCACTTTTCTTCCAAATTAACATCCTTAATTAAATTAAATTACACATTAACACCGGAGCCGGAATCATCTTGGATATCAGATGATGATTTATCTTTAGATGGTTTCCTGCAGAAAACGAAGTAGATGATGAGAATAATAAGGATAACAGCAAGAAGAACGCCAATAACAATACCAGCCTTCTGTCCACCAGTAAGTCCACTATTTTCAGGTGTTGGAGTTGGCTTGGAATCATCAGGGCTTGGTGCAACGTATTGTTGTTTCTGAAGTGAAACCTCTGTTTCAATGATATTGGATTGAGCTTGATCTTTGGATCCAGCTAACCTAATTTGAAGTTTAACTTTTCCATCTTCTTTGATATCTTCATACTTTGGAGCTGGAATGTTGAGTAGATATGTTTTGCCTTCGTCGGCATGTAATTTCTTAATTGCAGATGGAGTTTCTACTTCAGTTACATTGTCGTCTGGGAGATCTATCCATTTCTGATCTGCATAGAATCTATATTGGAAGCTTCCTGTCTTTGCCTCAAAGCCTTGTAATGTAACTTTAATTGGAATATATTCACCGGCCTTGAATGGTTCTGTATGATTTTCAGCAACAACAGTTGGCGCAGATAAATATGGAGACTTTCCAAGAGAATATGTAACATTGCCGGTACCTAAGTTGGATGTATGATTGGCGTCGGTCTCAACAACAACAAGTAACTTTGTCTTATTATGATCCTCTGGAGCGTTAACTTCGAAAGTCCATTCTGTCTCGTTCGTGTTATTTACGGCTGTTGCATTGATAAGATTTTGTGATGCTGTGACGTTAGTGACAGTGATGTTGGAAACGTTGCTTTCTGTTGCAAAGAGATAATATGTCTTTGTAATATTTAAGCCTGTTTTGAGTATGATTTTGGCTGAGTATGACTTGCCTGAAGTTACTCCTGTGCCATTGTTGTAAAGAACTCTATCGATAACTGGTGTGGGGACTGTGGTAGAATATGTAACATTGCCGGTACCTAAGTTGGATGTATGATTGGCGTCGGTCTCAACAACAACAAGTAACTTTGTCTTATTATGATCCTCTGGAGCGTTAACTTCGAAAGTCCATTCTGTCTCGTTCGTGTTATTTACGGCTGTTGCATTGATAAGATTTTGTGATGCTGTGACGTTAGTGACAGTGATGTTGGAAACGTTGCTTTCTGTTGCAAAGAGATAATATGTCTTTGTAATATTTAAGCCTGTTTTGAGTATGATTTTGGCTGAGTATGACTTGCCTGAAGTTACTCCTGTGCCATTGTTGTAAAGAACTCTATCGATAACTGGTGTGGGGACTGTGGTAGAATATGTAACATTGCCGGTACCTAAGTTGGATGTATGATTGGCGTCGGTCTCAACAACAACAAGTAACTTTGTCTTATTATGATCCTCTGGAGCGTTAACTTCGAAAGTCCATTCTGTCTCGTTCGTGTTATTTACGGCTGTTGCATTGATAAGATTTTGTGATATTGCGACGCTAGTGGCAGAGGCGTTGGAAGCTTCGCTTTCTGTTGCAAAGAGATAATATGTCTTTGTAATATTTAAGCCTGTTTTGAGTATGATTTTGGCTGAGTATGACTTGCCTGAAGTTACTCCTGTGCCATTGTTGTAAAGAACTCTATCGATAACTGGTGTGGGGACTGTGGTAGAATATGTAACATTGCCGGTACCTAAGTTGGATGTATGATTGGCGTCGGTCTCAACAACAACAAGTAACTTTGTCTTATTATGATCCTCTGGAGCGTTAACTTCGAAAGTCCATTCTGTCTCGTTCGTGTTATTTACGGCTGTTGCATTGATAAGATTTTGTGATGCTGTGACGTTAGTGACAGTGATGTTGGAAACGTTGCTTTCTGTTGCAAAGAGATAATATGTCTTTGTAATATTTAAGCCTGTTTTGAGTATGATTTTGGCTGAGTATGACTTGCCTGAAGTTACTCCTGTGCCATTGTTGTAAAGAACTCTATCGATAACTGGTGTGGGGACTGTGGTAGAATATGTAACATTGCCGGTACCTAAGTTGGATGTATGATTGGCGTCGGTCTCAACAACAACAAGTAACTTTGTCTTATTATGATCCTCTGGAGCGTTAACTTCGAAAGTCCATTCTGTCTCGTTCGTGTTATTTACGGCTGTTGCATTGATAAGATTTTGTGATGTGTGACGTTAGTGACAGATGTTGGAAACGTTGCTTTCTGTTGCAAAGAGATAATATGTCTTTGTAATATTTAAGCCTGTTTTGAGTATGATTTTGGCTGAGTATGACTTGCCTGAAGTTACTCCTGTTGCCATTGTTGTAAAGAACTCTATCGATAACTGGTGTGGGGACTGTGGTAGAATATGTAACATTGCCGGTACCTAAGTTGGATGTATGATTGGCGTCGGTCTCAACAACAACAAGTAACTTTGTCTTATTATGATCCTCTGGAGCGTTAACTTTGAAAGTCCATTCTGTCTCGTTCGTGTTATTTACGGCTGTTGCATTGATAACATTTTGTGATGCTGTGACGTAGTGACAGAGTTGGAAGCGTTGCTTTCTGTTGCAAAGAGATAATATGTCTTTGTAATATTTAAGCCTGTTTTGAGTATGATTTTGGCTGAGTATGACTTGCCTGAAGTTACTCTGTGCCATTGTTGTAAAGAACTCTATCGATAACTGGTGTGGGGACTGTGGAGAATATGTAACATTGCCGGTACCTAAGTTGGATGTATGATTGGCGTCGGTCTCAACAACAACAAGTAACTTTGTCTTATTATGATCCTCTGGAGCGTTAACTTCGAAAGTCCATTCTGTCTCGTTCGTGTTATTTACGGCTGTTGCATTGATAACATTTTGTGATGCTTGACGTTAGTGACAGTGAGTTGGAAACGTTGCTTTCTGTTGCAAAGAGATAATATGTCTTTGTAATATTTAAGCCTGTTTTGAGTATGATTTTGGCTGAGTATGATTGCCTGAAGTTACTTCGTGCCATTGTTGTAAAGAACTCTATCGATAACTGGTGTGGGGACTGTGGTAGAATATGTAACATTGCCGGTACCTAAGTTGGATGTATGATTGGCGTCGGTCTCAACAACAACAAGTAACTTTGTCTTATTATGATCCTCTGGAGCGTTAACTTTGAAAGTCCATTCTGTCTCGTTCGTGTTATTACGGCTGTTGCATTGATAAGATTTTGTGATGCTTGACGTAGTGACAGAGTTGGAAACGTTGCTTTCTGTTGCAAAGAGATAATATGTCTTTGTAATATTTAAGCCTGTTTTGAGTATGATTTTGGCTGAGTATGACTTGCCTGAAGTTACTCCTGTGCCATTTTGTAAAGAACTCTATCGATAACTGGTGTGGGGACTGTGGTAGAATATGTAACATTGCCGGTACCTAAGTTGGATGTATGATTGGCGTCGGTCTCAACAACAACAAGTAACTTTGTCTTATTATGATCCTCTGGAGCGTTAACTTCGAAAGTCCATTCTGTCTCGTTCGTGTTATTTACGGCTGTTGCATTGATAAGATTTTGTGATATTGCGACGCTAGTGGCAGAGGCGTTGGAAGCTTCGCTTTCTGTTGCAAAGAGATAATATGTCTTTGTAATATTTAAGCCTGTTTTGAGTATGATTTTGGCTGAGTATGACTTGCCTGAAGTTACTCCTGTGCCATTGTTGTAAAGAACTCTATCGATAACTGGTGTGGGGACTGTGGTAGAATATGTAACATTGCCGGTACCTAAGTTGGATGTATGATTGGCGTCGGTCTCAACAACAACAAGTAACTTTGTCTTATTATGATCCTCTGGAGCGTTAACTTCGAAAGTCCATTCTGTCTCGTTCGTGTTATTTACGGCTGTTGCATTGATAAGATTTTGTGATGCTGTGACGTAGTGACAGTGATGTTGGAAACGTTGCTTTCTGTTGCAAAGAGATAATATGTCTTTGTAATATTTAAGCCTGTTTTGAGTATGATTTTGGCTGAGTATGACTTGCCTGAAGTTACTCCTGTGCCATTGTTGTAAAGAACTCTATCGATAACTGGTGTGGGGACTGTGGTAGAATATGTAACATTGCCGGTACCTAAGTTGGATGTATGATTGGCGTCGGTCTCAACAACAACAAGTAACTTTGTCTTATTATGATCCTCTGGAGCGTTAACTTCGAAAGTCCATTCTGTCTCGTTCGTGTTATTTACGGCTGTTGCATTGATAAGATTTTGTGATGCTGTGACGTTAGTGACAGTGATGTTGGAAACGTTGCTTTCTGTTGCAAAGAGATAATATGTCTTTGTAATATTTAAGCCTGTTTTGAGTATGATTTTGGCTGAGTATGACTTGCCTGAAGTTACTCCTGTGCCATTGTTGTAAAGAACTCTATCGATAACTGGTGTGGGGACTGTGGTAGAATATGTAACATTGCCGGTACCTAAGTTGGATGTATGATTGGCGTCGGTCTCAACAACAACAAGTAACTTTGTCTTATTATGATCCTCTGGAGCGTTAACTTCGAAAGTCCATTCTGTCTCGTTCGTGTTATTTACGGCTGTTGCATTGATAAGATTTTGTGATGCTGTGACGTTAGTGACAGTGATGTTGGAAACGTTGCTTTCTGTTGCAAAGAGATAATATGTCTTTGTAATATTTAAGCCTGTTTTGAGTATGATTTTGGCTGAGTATGACTTGCCTGAAGTTACTCCTGTGCCATTGTTGTAAAGAACTCTATCGATAACTGGTGTGGGGACTGTGGTAGAATATGTAACATTGCCGGTACCTAAGTTGGATGTATGATTGGCGTCGGTCTCAACAACAACAAGTAACTTTGTCTTATTATGATCCTCTGGAGCGTTAACTTCGAAAGTCCATTCTGTCTCGTTCGTGTTATTTACGGCTGTTGTATTGATAAGATTTTGTGATGCTGTGACGTTAGTGACAGTGATGTTGGAAACGTTGCTTTCTGTTGCAAAGAGATAATATGTCTTTGTAATATTTAAGCCTGTTTTGAGTATGATTTTGGCTGAGTATGACTTGCCTGAAGTTACTCCTGTGCCATTGTTGTAAAGAACTCTATCGATAACTGGTGTGGGGACTGTGGTAGAATATGTAACTCGTTTTGGTATTTCTTTAGGCTCAGTTAATATATTTTTCTTCTTATATATTAATTCCCTTCTTTTCGGATCTTTACTTAAAGTAAGTAATAACAACCCAATCCACATTATTAAAATGAAATGATCTTATTCACAATATTTCAATATCTCCCAAAATTTTATACAAATTCTATAATCAAATTCTACCCTCATAATAATACTTTTCGATTAATATTTTGGTGTATATATATGACTCGAACTTTTCATTGTCTTCAACAATCATTCAATCTTCACAATTGTGAAGATTGAAAAGTTCGAGTCATTAAAATGAAAAGACAAAGATTGGCAAAAAATAGAATCTATATATTACTTTTAAATTGAGCGTTCAAATTTCGGGGAAAAATATAAGAGAAAAATTTATGAGTCGGAAAGAAAAATGTGAAATGAACTGAAGTTATGAACTCATATTATTTTCTAATATATAACTATTTTATATAAAAATCAAATTCAATGATCTTAAAAGCGAAGGATAAACCTCAAAATTTACGAATATAATGAGTGGGAATATAATGCTTATCTATCATAAAACCATATGTTGATGATAAATAAAAATCATCCAAATTTAATTATACTCATTTTAATTCTATATTTTTTAATTTTTATTTAATTATTATTTCCATTTTTTAAAACATATTAATAATTGTGAGCTTTACAAAATATTTGAGAAATATTTTGTACAGCTCACAATTTCTAATATGTTCTTCAAAATAGATTAAAAATTGAAAACCGCTACACTCATTCAATTTTTAATCTATTTTGGTCAAATCAAATTCAACAATTTTTTTATCTTGATTTTTCAACTCTCAACATATCCATTTATAACTTCAGTTCATTTCACATTTTTCTTTCCGACTCATAAATTTTTCTCTTATATTTTTCCCCGAAATTTCAACGCTCAATTTAAAAGTAATATATAGATTCTATTTTTGCCAATCTTTGTCTTGTATATCTGGATACTAAAATTCACTTTCTTAGAATTTTTCTTGACTCTCATAGTCAAAAAAATCTCAAATTGTTTGCTGCATTCAAATTTTCAGAACTTTTAAATTTCATGAAAAATATACTTGTCCTTTCAGCGTTATTAACATTATCAAGTTATGTGATAGAAAATAACCTATTTTTTCTCTCAAACGATCGATTTTCAACAAAAGCACTCAATACTCTATCATGCTTATAGCATTTACCGCAAATATCGGTGGTTTTCATAAAATACTTTAAACGATAGAATTTTGACCTACATCCCACCAAAAATTAAATAATTATTAAACTTTACCAATATATTTTTAATTATATGGATAGCATTGTTTCTCATATAATGGAGTTGACAAAATCGAGCCACGTTGGACAAAAGCATAAATATCTAAAAAATTGAGTCAAAACCGATAATTTTTTATTCTGTATTGTTATGAGTTGAGGAACCAAGTTCGATTCAATTTTTTGGAAAGATTTTTTTCTTTTTTCATAAAACATGGTGATAATTAGAATTATAAATAATTCTTTAAAGCTGTTATAAAGGTAGACCAGCAAAAAATACGTTATTTCGCAATTTTTTAAAAAAATCTTATGGTACTTATTTTCATTTGAATAGCCTCTCAGATGAATATAATTCTAAAGATTTAAGGGGGCATATTGAACAAGTCCTAGAATAATTATATTATTTGTATTATTTGAAAATTAGCTACGATTAAGTTCCTCATATCTTCAATTAAAAATTACTATCATTGTTTTCAAGGAATTTTGATTCCATTCATCATTTGGCGCGCTTTTATCATTATCCAACCTTCGAAAGTAGTATGTTAAAATTTAATATTTCACATCTAATACTTTTCACATATAAAATTGCCCACAGATATAACATGATTCTTTGCTTACTAATATACTTTAACATATTTTGAAATGAAGCCCAATTTATCGGGCCGTTTTCGAGAAAAAGTCATTTTTGTAATCAGAAATGGCAGGTTTCCTACTTGTACATTCATAAATTGCAAAATGATAGAGAGCACATAGGTATTATACTATTTTAAGCTTATTCACGATATTTACATAGCTTGTTGACAAGATATTGACAAATTTTCTATGATCTACACTCCTGAACAGGAAACGAACAAAACTTCGCAGCAGATTTGCTAAATCTACTATTTTTAAATGTCAACACACAAATACATGATAAGCTCTCGGTTATTTAACAAATTTTTTCTTTTTATCTATCATCTTGTACTAATATGTTACATTTTTTGTTTTCCTATGAATAAAAATACCCTTAGCTTAACTTCTTTTAAAGGAATATCATTTCGATACCTCAATATTTTACATTAACCATTATTCATTAAAATAATTCAATAATTTTAATATATATTATAATTTGATAGTTTAGTGATGATTAATAAAAAAAAGGTAGTGGGGCTTCCAGGCGCGTTGCGCCCTCTAGCCCTGAAGATGTTTAGTATAAATGAAGTTTATATTCGGAGGGCTTCCAGGCGCGTTGCGCCCTCTAGCCCATAAAAAATTTCTGAGGACGAGCCAGCCGGTGACTTTTTTGTAGAGCACTCAAAATAGTATAACTTTGTCCGGACAAGTAAGGGTCTATCGTCGCTACAGGAAAAGTTACAGGCGTTCCAAGGAAGTATACTTTGAGAAGCCTTTTCCCCTTATAGAATGAGATAAGACGGTTATTTTACAAAACTGACAACACTTTGACCGAGTAGTTTTTTGTGCTGAACAAAAAGTGTCATATAAACATCTGTCAAAAACCGCTTTTTACTTCACTTAAAATGCCACGTAAGCTACGTAAGAATATACGTAAGAGGAAGGGAGCATTGAAACATCCAATAGTAAAACTGACACCACAACAACAGTTGCAACAACAAATGATGAATGACCCCACTATGTTGCAACAAATGTCAAGCAACCCTATGCTTTTAAACCGAGTTATTGGTGCACAGAGTGGAGGTTTAAGAGCGGCACTTTTAGCGAAAATGGCAGGCTATGGTGGAGCTGCAGACGGAACAACTTATAACCCTCAAAGTCAAATGAATTTGAGTTCACTCAAAAATCAAATAGCAGATGTCAAAAAGTCAAACATAGACATACAGAAACAAATAAGTGAAAACGAAAAGAAACTAGAATATGACAGACACACAAAGAAACTCAATGAGTTAAACGTAGAGAAAAAGAAGAAGAAGAACAACTGAAAGAACTAAGTACAGAGGAATATGCGAAAAAAGTGTCAGAAAAAGCAGCAGAAGTAGCAAAAATGGAACAAGATGTTATAAATTTGAAAAACCATACTACTCAATATAAAGTACTGAAAGATGAAGAAATAAAACAAAAAGCCCTGAAGACATATATGGATAGCGATGAGTATAAAAAAGAAGTTGAAGCAAATGTAAAGGCAGAAAAACTTTTACAGTTGCAAAACCAAACCGTACAGTATGAAAACTTAGCACAAGAAAGTAAAAATAACGACGCGGCCATGCAAAAGGCAATGAAAAGCGCAGAATATATAAAAGCTAATAATGACTGGTTAGATGCCCAAGCCAACGCTAAAGCAGCCCAACTTATAGGGTCAATAAGGACAAAAATACAAGCGGATGAAGACAGTTCAAATGAAGCTTTAATGAATGCTGACTTTAAGAACGCCTTCGAAGCTCTTCATAGTAAGGTGAAACTAGTGAACGACTTCTCATCTGGAAAGAAACTGAAGTCTGAAGGTTTCGACAAAGAGTTAAGAGAAGTAGCACAAAATATGACGAAAATAACAGATGCAGCAACGAGACAGGCAGTTCAAAGTGCCTATGACGCCGTTAGAGCAACTGTTGTGGAAAGTCAAGAAAAAGAGTTACAACAGACCAAAACAGACCTAGTAAATGCTTTCTTAAGAACGAAAAGTCAGGTAGGACATTATGCTGCAGATGGAACATATGTGCCAGCTGGTGGAACTTATATACCACCAAACCCTCCAAGAGAAGCACCTGCACCAGGACTACCTAAAACATTTACATCGTCACATGGACACAGACACAGGCATGCACCAAAACCAACACAACAACCAACAGTTCAAAATCCAGCACCACAACAACAACCAAAACCAACAGTTCAAAATCCAGCACAGCAACCAACAGTTCAAAACCCTGCACAGCAACCAACAGTTCAAAATCCAGCACCACAACCAAAACCAGCACAACAACCACCTCCACAACCAGCACAGCAACCAACAGTTCAAAACCCTGCACAACAACAACCACAAACAGAGCAAGGACATAAAAGAAGTAGAGAAAAAGGAAACCAAGAATTCTTAAAAATGCTTAAGGAAGATTATGGTTACCCAGATACTCTTGACTTTAGTGACAGATATAAAGAAGCTATTAGAAAGTTCAAGGAAGGAAATACTGACCCGAACCTATTTAGCTTTATGGTTCAGCATCAAATGGGATATAATCTCAAACCTGGAAAATACAAGCTCGCTAAGGGATATGATTTAATAGCATATCATCCAAATGACATGAATGAATTTACTCCGAGATATTTGGTGTCAGAGCTAAATAATAATTCAACTCTCTTCATGAAACGCGTAAAAAATAGAGACGGAACGAAAGAAGAAAGGTTTATGAGTCCGGATGACTTAGATAGGGAACTTGTTAAAAACGGTCTCGGAATATATGAAATGCCAGCAGATGAGGTACAAGAAACTCCACAGGAAGAAGTTCAGATACAACCAGACATGGAAGAAATAGTTCAGCAACAACAGCTAGAAGAGCCTGAAGGAAACGAACAAGTCCCTCCTTTGGAAACTAACTTCACAGAACTAGATGAAGATTTGGAACAGCCGAAAAATCTTGACCCTCAACAAGTGTATGCGGAGAATATGGAATCTTTCCAAGAGTCTAAGAAAAATTCGGCTGACATAGTAGAAGAATATCGAAAAATGTTCGCCGACATACAAAAGACTCCAACATCAGATGAAAATATTCAGCATAGAATGGAAGTACTGAAAGAAAATGTACGCAAATACAATAATCCTTTTTACTTACGACCATATAACGTTCAATCTTTGGCTGAACTCGGTGAAA